ATATATATATATATATATATATATATATATATATATATATATATATATATATATATATATACATTACACGTTATGATAATCTTACGTCGTTTTCATCAAGATTACATACAGAGTCCTGCTGACGAAGAATGGGAGGCAGACGTGATTAAGCATCTGGGCAATCACTTGGCCCAAGAACACTACTTGAACAAAAAACAAGAAAAGAAGAGCAAAAATCTTAAAACTCAGTCGAACTAAAAATATAAAACAGATGAAAAATATTTTGTAATAATTCCTAGTTGATTGAAAGTTACAAAATGAATATTTTTTAGGAAAAAAATTCTGCAAATTAACAATTTTAGACATAAACTATTATATTATGCTCATTTTACTATTGTCGCTTGAAGTGGAGAGACTTGTTCTACTCTATAAAAAAGAAATAGAGGATAGATAGTTGGCCCCGTAACGCACTTGAACTGAAAATGTCGAGAGTTCAGAGAGCTGTTGAAATATCCCGAAACTGAATTCTTAACTCGGGAGAATTTTAAGAGTTCAGAGAGCTCTTAAAACCCCCCGAAACCGAACTTTCAACTCTGGAGAATGTTGGAAGTTCAAACTGCCCCTAAAACTTCCTGGAAATGAACTGTTAACTCTGGACAATGTTGAGAGTTTAACGTGCTGCTCCCCTTCAAAAAACTAAACTCTGAAGCCTGCAGAATGTTAAGAGTAATATACCACCGGAAACTTCCAATATTGAACTTTTAACTGTGTAGGATGTACAGAGTTCAGACAACCGCTAAAATTTCTTGAAAATGAACTCTTAACTCTGGATAGTGTGGAGAGTTCAACGTGCTCCTTCCCCCCAACAAACGAAACTCTTAAGCCTGCAGAATGTTAAGAGTTGATATTGCACCGGAAACTCCGGATACTGAACTCTGAACTCTGGAGAATGTCAAGAGTTCAGAGAGCTCTTCAAACATCCCAAATCTGAACTCTTAACTGTACAGAATATTAACAGTTCAGAAAGCTCTACCCCCGAACTCCCGCCCCCCACCCCTCCTATTCTAAAGTCATAAGTCTGGATAATGTTAAGAGTTAATATAGCACTGAAAACTTCCTTTACTGAACTATTAACTCTGAAGGATTACAAGAGTTAAGGGACTTTTTAAAAACCGCCGAAACTGAACTCTCAACTCTGGAGAATGTTGAGAGTTCTGAGTCCCCCCCCCCCATACTAACGTCATAAGTCTGCATCATCT